TTCGTATCACGTCTTAAACTAGCAGCAGAATAACTTATCATCTATAGATGATTGTCATTCTTGCTAGAAGTTTGCCTTGGTGTCTTTCTGATGTAATTACGATATTGATTGAGATAAACGAAGTACCATAGACACTTTAGGTGGGAAAACTGCAGTTTACCTGAAAATCTACATTTTAGACAATCATTTGACGACTAAATTATGCTATCGGTAAATTCTGATATGTGAAAGTGTAGTTCCAGAATATTCTCTAAAATGAAACCAAAATGAACATGTTACATATCTAGTACACGTGTATGAACATGTGGATGTAGGTCAAAAACTGTACGTGTTTATCAGTTGCACTAATCAATAATTTTCGCTGATTTCATTTTCTATCGTCTGGCAACTAATAATGGCGCAGGTTCGTTATGATGGTTATCGATTATGATTTCTATTTCTCAAACATTCTTTTTTTCTTATAGAATTTAGTCTTTTCATGGTGTTGAAGTATAACTTTGGTGAATTTTTCAGGTTGTTGAAAGATTTGTAGTAGTTATATAACGTCTGAATTAATGACAATCCATACCTTTCTCAAATATTTTCAAGGGTTACAATCATACAAAACATATTCTTTCATGTTCATGGGTTTTATCTTGTGATTCTTCCATTAATTGACTACTGCAGATAAGAAAAAAGAATAAAACTAAGTTTGATGGCGAAGTAAACATTCGCTTCTGAAAAAGAAAAATCGAGTTATTTTGTCTGTTGTTTGAATATCATTCGTATTCCTATAATGGTATGAGGCAAAGGCTAACGGTTTGATAAAAGTTCTTGAGAGTCCTATTGCTGCTAATAGCATAATCATCTGCAGCCAGCTTCTCGGCCATTTGAAGCCACCAATATTTTATCGAATTGGGGACACCCTGCCTGAAGAACATATATCTTGATTATATTCGAATGTTATTCTAGACCCAGTAGTTATGTTTATAGATCGTAGTTTTCCCAAATGTTCTTCAGGCTGCTATGTTTTTCGTATTTTTATTCGATTTCAGTGGTTTTTTTGTGTTTCGCTGGGAGCATCAGGTTTTTTTTCGTATAGTGTAAAGAGAAAGCTCATTCAGACCTAGTATTACAGGCAATCTTCTTTTGCAAATTTTACGAGGTTCTGAGTTAATAACATTAGAACAGTAAAGATGAGCTAGCTGAAGCGACGGTCTAAAAAGCGATAGTATTGGTAGAGAAGCGATTTGAGAAAAGCTTATAAATCTG